CATAATTTTTTATTTAATATGATATAAGTCTGTTAGATGTTGTATAAGTCCAATTGCTATTTTTTCAAGTGTTGCATGTCAAGTGCGTATGCATATATTATATGGAAATATGCTTACATATATTATATACTATCTTAAAAAATTATAAAATAGCTTAAAAATATATTCTAAAAAAAGATAATTGTATATTAAATTTATATTGTAAAAATATTTTGAAAAATATGGTGCTCTTATAATTAAAGTTATTTTTTATAATATAATTTATCATACTAAAGCTATATAACATGATAGAAAAAAAAGTTTTATTTTACGTTCAAAATTAAGTATATTATTACAAATTTCAACGCTTAAAAGAAATTTGAGAAAATAAAAGTTAATAAGATTTTCTCGTGATCAGGTATTGGGTTTAATTACACGGCAAAAAAATTGTAATTATTTATTATTATAACCGTTATATTACATTCGGCAATTTTAACGTAAGCTTCGTAATTGGAAATTTGAAAAATCTTTACGATATTTACAAAAATATCGTAAATTATTTATTTATTTATTTTAATATCCGTCATATAATTTTCTCAATTTTAACATTATTTTTACATCAGGTTTGTATTCGACAATCTAAAAAACTTTTATGTTTAGATAAACAACTGAAAAATGTTTGATAGATGTGCATGATTTTCAAGAGCTTGCTTATAACTTTCTCACAATAAACACAATATATAATTAAGTAACTCTTATCAACTATAATCTTTACATTACATTACTTTTGAAAATTCCAAGAATATATTCAATTCTAAATAGAATAAAACTTTTACAATACGTCACATACTACACTATGATAAAATATATTAATATATAATTTTAGTACGTATAAAAAATTTACGGGGAACAATTAATATTTTCTTGGATTTGAAAAAGATTTTATCTTTTGTCGAGAGAACTGTGTTATTTTTTACCGAATGTATCATTTTTTTTCGAAAGCAGTGCAACTAATGGAAAAATCTTGTTCGATAGTTTTACTCGCCTACTCACGAGGGATCATCTCAGTGCTTGTATCACAATATTTTTTTACTGGATATTCTATATAAAATTATACAAATTTGTTATCGTAAAATGTGAATATTTCTTATATTGTTTTTCACGTGTAGAGAAACGTCAATTTGTGAATGTCCTTCAGTGACCTGTCAGTTTCGTCTTCTCGATTGCCGATGATATTGCGAATTCGATTAAATTTCGGATACAATATCTTTTGCTTTTACGGATAATAAATTTCTTTGGGAGTGGCGGACCTTGATCTCTCGCCGCTTTCTTGAAAAAATTTTCGCGGAACGGGAACAATCGCTGACCCGCGCTTTCGGCCCACTTCACCTTGCGGGTGTTTATAAACGGAACGAGCGGTAGTCACCGAGTTGAAATTCAAGCGGCGTCTTCCACGCTCGAGGCTTCATCGCCCGCGGAATAAGGATCCTATTTTATTCTTCTGCCTTTTTTTTTTGTTGTTTACTTTGTTCACCGCCGACTGCTAGCCCCGTAACCTGCTTTCGAACAGTTTGCGCGTGCGGAAATTCAGAGATATCTCTCTCACTCTCTTTCTCTCGTATAGTACATTTTTATGAAATACATTTTTCCGAAAAAAATTGTTAAAACTTTTTACGATATGCTTGACTTTTAACGTAAAGTGAAACTTTTCTAGCACGTCACATACCACAGCTGTAGCTTGATAAATTACATTAAAAATAGGTCTAACTTCGTATTTTCCAGAATTGTGATGTAATAAAACATTTCTGAAGCTGAAATCATATCAAATATAAAAAAACTATAAAAAATAATTATCTTTTTTTTTTATTTTGTTTTATTAAATTATGCAACTTTGTTTTTTGTGAATATAAATATAAACAAAATTGACAATATTCAAATACGTTAAGAATATAGCATTATTTTAAATATTTGTTGAATATAAGACTTGCAGGAAGTGTAATATATAACAATAGCTTGTTAGAAACTTGGAGATGCGGCATATGTTTACCTCGAAATTATGCGCACCGTAACATTATATTCTTTACGAAAAGACTTATTATATATGTGCGCGCGAGTTAAACGGTACTACCGACTGATGCGACCGACGCAATTACTAAGCCACGCGGTCAATCTCGCTAACAAGACGTCGCAACACAGACCAATTATTTGATATATCCGCATGAAAGATCGGAATTTTCAACGTATTTATAAAAATACGTATTGCTAATGCGAATTAAAAATATTGTAAGATAGTCGCAAGATAAATCAAATCTTAGAGTATCAATTACAATTTAACCCAGACAGCACAAGGATGTCTTTAGGACGTCCAAAGGGCATCCAGGACATACATGTAGGATATCCTGAGACTGTCATAAACTATATATCATACGTATATATTTAAGTGTATTGATATTAGTTTAATGATAATCTCGATATTCTTGTATATAAGTTCTTGTCAATTACGATAAAGTTAACAATACTCGAATGGCTACCAACACTCGGATATATATTGCGAGTAAGCATCGGCTCTCGAGAGAGCCAACGCTACTCCCAACGATCGCACTTCAATCGAATTTTTTGTCGCTTGTACTAATTGCATAATTTCATTACGTCCGACCGGGCACTGATGGAAATTGTGGTCTTGGTCGGTCTATTTTCCGTTCTAGCTCTCGCGGGTGGCGAGTATATTTCGCTCTCTCGTGGCATTCTCCCGCGAAATGGCACGAAACGCACATGCGTGCGTGCGTGCAATTTCGTTAGTGTTCCTTGCACGATATATAATTGATTTTTATATATTTATTATGTCATAATAGATGTAATATTCTGTCTTAATAAACATTTTTTTTTTCGAATTATTAACATAGGCGTTTCTCTATTTCATTCTCTGCTTGTATTTTTAACGTTTTATATACAAAAATCATTTATTCTCTTAATTTTTTCTTCTAAAACATTTAAAAAAAGTTGTATTAATTTTTTACACTGTTTAGGGTTTAATCTCTATTTGCAAGCGATTATTTCCCGTAAGGAAAAAAAAATTTCTCTAATATCATTTAGCAATATACCTGTTAAATTAAGCAAAATTATTCACGATGTCTCACACATCATGCTTCATTCATCAGATGTCAAAATAAACGACATTTTTTTATACATATGTGATCTTTCGTGTACGATATAATAATTGAAGTATGCGCTATATAATTATATTATACAGGTTGTCCCAGAATTAGATCGACAAACTTTACAAGGTGATTATAAAGGACATCAAAACAAGCCAATTTTGCTAATAAACCCGTGTCCGCAAATGAGTCGTTTTGGCATTAGAAAATCAAAAAGTAACACTAGGGAATCTCACGAATCCGAAAATTCTGATTTTGATGAAACTTTACACACATGTAGGGGGAGAAGAGAAGATGAATTTAGAAATTTCCAGTTACGGCCCAAAAACGATTCTTAGGGGTGAAATCACCCCTTATATGTAGAACGGTTTTTTGCTTTTCTCGATATATCTCGAAAATTATTCGAGATATTGAAAAATATTTTATACAAAAGTTTCATGGTAAAAACACCTCTATTTAATCACATTAATAAAATTTTTTTTAAATAATTTTTTTCAAAGACTTTTGCCCATGTTAGTCTTTGATTTTCTAGTTTTTTATAAGCTCTGTTCTTTATAACGATCTGAAGTTTGTCGGTCTAATTCCGGGACATCCTGTATATTATATTACACGCGCACAAAATGCGCGAGTGTTTGATTCATCGGCGATTCTATCCACATCGAGTGAGAAATCAGATCGAGTTGAGATTATCGGTTAACAAGCACGTTTGATGATAGATTTACGATATCCGCTTATTTCTCGCGACGCTCAAGACGCTATTCGGATGATGCCTACCGATTCGAGCGCATCTTTGTCCCGCTAAACTCAGCGAAATCCCTCATTACTGTGTCGAAGCGATGATCCGCTCGAGCGTGTTCCTCTCTTGTGGGCCGATGATCGTTCAAGCTTGACGCGCGACGGTCCAACATCGCGGTCCACTCTATCATGGTCCAGTGCTCTTTAGTAGTTTCTCATTCGTTGCCCGCTCTCGCGTCTTCCCGGAGAAGATATTCCCGAACGCCGTATAAAGCACGTAAACTCGGGAAATCGAACCGAGAAACACAGCTAACGGTACTCCCGATTCCAAGAGAGAGATTAGTATGTACGCCGTTAACGCGGAATCTGCTCGTTGTTTCAAAATTTCAAGCTAAACGGACTAGAACATCGTACGATTTCGCCAAGTACCGTAAGATGGAGAGTCAGATTATATTGTAGACATCCGTTGATCGACGTTAAAGTTTTTACTTTTTCAAGAGATTGGTGATTAAAATTTGTTTCTCTGTTTTGTGTCCTCTTTGCGGCCAGTTCTTCGCGTAACCACCTACGGGTGTGTCTGCATACATAGTATGTCGATGTCTGGATGTGATAAAGCAATATAATATCTAATAATGTATAATAAAAACAGTATTGAATTATATGCTTTTTATTTTCTCTTATTTTTAGTCATGTCAGAAACTGAG